CAAAAAACAAAAATACTTCATGCCTAGTTTAGATATTAAATAAACAGGGTATAGCTATAACAAATTAAAAATTGATGATGCTGTTAACGGGAAAAATTATTCTGTATGTTCTGAGCTTGTAAAAAAAGAAAATTGTTCCGTATGTTCTGATTTTCTAAAAAAAAATCCGTATATTCTGATCTTGTAAAAAAAAATATTCCGTACGTTCTGATTTTGTAAAAAAAAAAAATAATAAAAAAATCGGTATGTTCTAATTTTGTTTTAAAAAAAATATTCCGTATGTTCTGATTTTGTAAAATAAATTTGGTATGTTTAAATCTTGGAGAAAAAACGCATAGGCATAACTTAATTTGAAACTGAATAGTATCAATAAAACCAAGATTGATGTAATTAGAAATTTGTGGAAAAATATTTTTTTTCACTACTGAAATAAAATACTAAAATTAATAAGTGTTTTATGGGCAGATGATGGATTTATGAAACTGCAATCGTCTTTTCATCAATGATTCTAATGACTCGCACAAAATCAGTTTTTGTACTTCACAGCGTCTATTGTGTCTGCTTCATGCATGCACACATTTATAGAAGTAGCTATACCACACCAGAAAGCTTGTCTCCACGTACAATAATTAAAAGAAACGTATCATCACGACCATTACTTAAACAAAGATGAAGTCTGGTTTTTCGGCCTTGCACTTGTCTCTTGTTTCAACTCTTGTCCAGCGACCATTACATCTCGGGTTAGGTACGAATGTCCACCTGGTTGCTTTACCATCTACTCCGTGACCATTACATCTGTAACCTAAGTGACCCCGCATGGCAGCATCTTCACAGCTGATGCAGAGGTGGGCACCTTTTACGAGTAGGGTAGAAACATTGTCTGCAATGATGCTTTCGCAAGCTTTTCGGATTTTTGTCACTTCAAACATGACACAGTACCTGAAATATTTCGAAAATGGTTCTCAAAAACAAAATAGAATAAGGAATTGTGTTTATAAATAGGGCTTGAATGTAAG